TTAACGAGCTAACTGCGCTAACACACTAGCTCCCACCATGTAATTGAGCATTGCGTGGCACATCCAACATACTGTTTTACTTTAGTCCATGACTCGCTTACCTTCAGGGTCAAAACCAAAGTAGTTCCAAACGTCAGATCTGAATGAGGGTGGGGGAGGTTCAATTTGCCATGTTGCAACGAGCTTAGCTTCTGTCTGGCTAGCTTGCGCTGCGCTCAGTGGATCTGCGTTCGACTACTCCGCCTAGGCTGCACTGTCGAGCGCAGATCCACTGAGCGCTCAACACAGACAGCATAGTCAGAAGGAAAGTTGATAAAATAAATTACAAATGTTGTATTGTTCGACACATATGCGTACCGAACCGAAAGCACTGTATCGAACGGTTCAATATCGATACGAGTATCGTTGCACCCCTACTGTTTTCTGTTTCTGTGTGATTAGACGGACTGCTGCAGAGGAGCAGATGGTGGTAAAAAGCGACACTAACATCATTCTGCTGCTTTGTAGTTTAGTTTTAAACGGGGTCATTGAAAGATTGGTGTTTGCTGTGAGTCCAACATGTAGACGTGCGCACAGGAAGGACCTCACAGTACTATCATGTACTTGTACGCTCACGATGCAAGAACAGGATGTTCATTCTATTAGGATCTGAGGTCATATGAAATATTAGTGACAGACATGAACTTGGATCAACATGAATGTTTGATACGAGTAGACATGTGACCTCCTGTCTGTGGCCGAGCGCTGCTTTGCTCCTGGCACTCCTACAACGTTACCAGCTGTGGTGACGTGGGGCGTGTCCGTGCGGACTCTTTGGGTTTTATGTAAACCTGCTTTGCATGTCTTGTAGTTTTAGCTCCACAGGAATGATGGGCGGTCACAGGCTGGAGTAAAGCCAACCTCAGCATCAGTTCATGAAATGAATAATGTTGGTTGTAGTTTGGAGCTTCAGTCAGGTCCAAGGGTCAGCACTTTGTTTTCACAAACACCAGCAGTGATTCAGTAATAATAAGCTGTAACTTACACTTACAGTGGATGTTTGCACAGCGTAATACGAGGCTTATTCTTTTAGCTGCAGGAGCCCCAAATCAGGCTTCATAGCACCGACCAGCAGCAGCATCTTCTGCTTTTAGACGACTCTACACATTTACAGCATCCTGACCAGTGAGCACGGTGCAGGGATGTGTCACCGTCGAGTTTCTCGTGTGAAGATTTTTGCTGAACTTCCACTGCTCTGTCTTTCAAAGAGAGGAGAATGAACCGGTTCTTTGTCTCCGCCCACTCTGATCTGTATATTCAGTCACTTCTGCCGGTGAAAGCTGGTGGTGTACAGCACCAGCCTGTTTGCACAAGACTAGAAACCAAACCCCACACCACGAGTCCCACTGCAGGTCAGTGAGTGAGTGTGTTTTGTCAAAGCTGCCACTGCTCTGTTGTCAATAAAGCTTTCCTGCATTCCTAAGTGTTTCTGTCACATTGATCTATTGAAGAGAAAACCACATAACCGAGACGATGCATGGAAATATTCAGTGTCATGTTGAAATCGCACGTCTGTCAGATTTATAGGAGGTTGAGTCACACGGCCTCCTCGGGAGGGTCTCCTTGTAATTAAACCACAAACTGATGAGCTCGCTGGGATCAACATGTGACGTAGTCCTTTATCACAGCTGAGTGTCCGTGGATGGAGCACAGACAAAAAGGAGTGTGCAAATGAAAAGCGGAGCTACAAGTGAATTCAAAAATAAAATCAGCAAGAAACAACTTTTCCAGTGTAATTTTTAAAAATCTATATAATACCAGTTACCTCGATGCCTTACAGCATGGAGTTCAAAGTCACCGCTTTGCTTTTGTTGCACACAGCATCCAAAACACCAGCTTATAATAAAAGTCAGTGTGAAGAAGAGGAAGGGCAGACGATGCAGTTTGATGCTGATGAATGAAAGACGAGGAGCTTTCCCCTCAGGACTGCAGTTCACGCTCCGAAATAAACAGCTAAGCTTTACAAACGTCAACATGAGTGCACACTCGCACATGAGAAACACCTCCAGATCAGACCTGGAGCTTCAGCACAGATCGAGGAAAGTCGTGAGGAAGCATTTCAAGCCCAGACTGACATCAGAGCTGCAGAGGACGACTGTGTCATCAACGCTGAAGCCTGACCTGGAGGAGGTCAAAGAGCCCAACAAAACAGCTACAAATCAATTGCAGAGATGCTGCAAACTGAAGAAGTGATGACACATCGACAGACATTCAGAGAAATGTGGGAAACTGAGTACGTGCCAGAGGACCCGGGTGGAGCAGAGCTGCTGCTCCTCCACACTGGAAGGAGCCAGGGGTGGATGTTCTGAGTCGTCAATGTGAACGCCACCGTGTACGCCACCGTGTACGCCACCGTGTACGCTACGTTTGTTGATTAGAAAAACACCTGGAAGACGATGTGACGCCTCTTCACCCTGAACACATGCTCAGGATGCAGCAGGCAACCAGCCTTAAACGGGGCGCTAACAAACAGGACAACAGGAGGAGCTAGGCTACAGCACGGAGGTCACATGTTCCCTGATATTTAGATAAGAAGGACTTTATTTTAGGAAAAATGCTGTGATGTTACTCAGCATTTTTCCTCTAATAGTTTGTCAGTTTTCTTTAGTTGCACTAAATTATCCAGAGGATATTCAGGACCCCCCTGCACCGCTGGGGGCCACCCAGGAGGCACATAAAACTAACTTGAGATCTTGAAACTCTAATTATTGGTTTAATGAAGTTATTTTTCCATATCTCACCAGCGTCTCTCTCTCCAACACTGACAAACTTGTAATTTCTTAACTTAATTAGCTTTTTTAGAAATGTCAGATATTTATTTATTTATTTTATTTAAAAGGAGAAAAATATTTACCCCTTTTCTACTAATGGACATGTGCCAAAAGCATTTCCTGAAAATAGATGGGGGTTTCTGAGTTGTGCAGACTAATAACATTATTTCTAACGAGTCTTCGTATATTCTTCAGTAACACTCACTGTTTTAAATGTTAGCACAGAGTGTGCAGGTGGCCCGGAAACACAGAAACATCAACTCTGATTAGAACTTCGCAGTGATCACGTTCAACAAACGAGCTTTTGGATAACAGATGATCAAATCTGTGACCTTATTATATGATTTATAATTACATGCAGATCATCCCAGGCCTGAGAGGAACACGTGTGTCCAAGTATGTGATGAAATACATCAAATATATCTTATGCAGAAAATATTCAATAACGTTAAGTGGAGAAGTGAACATTTAGAGGGGGGGGGGCAGGTTACAGTAGATCTACAGACACTTTTAGTGAGCTGTGGAAATAAATCACAGCAGTGTTTCATTGGATGATTACAGTGACTTAAACTAGAGGATGCATTTGCTGCAGTGCGAATGCTGAGAGCTGAAATGTTCAATGAGCTGAATCAACAAATCTTTCAGCTGAAGGTGCAGAACTGTTGAAAGCTGAAGTGTCAAAGTTGGAAAGTAGCTGAACATCTTTAAAATGTATGTTAGAAAAAGACGACTAATGATAATATGAACTTTAAATGTCTAAACTCAAGAATCTCAAAGCATCAGTGACTTTGTTCATCTTCTTCTGTGCCGCGTGGATCAGGAAGCTGACGTTTAGGTCCTGGGAGATGGTGGTTCCCAGAATCTGGTTTACTGTGTCCACTGGGCATGAAGGAAGATCAGATTTGGTGGTGTTGGTTTCAGCCTGTAGCCCACCATCATCTCCAGCTGGAGGCGGTTGATGAATTTTGTAGACTTGACTCCCATCATCCCAGCTCTGCTGTGACACCAGCTCTCCCACCTGAACGTGATTCGTTGTGTTTATTTCACCAAAGATTCAGCAACTAGAAAAATTCAACTCAAGCATCGAGCTGTAAGCATTTACATGAGATTTTCTTCTCATATAGACATCTGAAAGGAAAATATTCTTTCACCATAGATGCAGAAACACCGATGAGGGACTTTTTATTTGACTTTGTTTTTTCTTTCCTCCTGACTTGAACGTCTGCAGACGTCTCTGTGCAGCACTGCTCACTTCAACGAGCAGCTGTGGAGTTTCCTGAAAAACACTTTTGCGGTTACCGGTTATAAAATATGACTTTTGGGGATTTGACAGGAATCCGGGAGCTTTGCAGCTCTCCGCCTTATATGGCAGGGCTGAGCGCGTGCTCCGTGCCTGTCCACGGGCTGCACGAGTGACCTGGAAGACAAACACGGTGTAGAGGCGGAGGACACGCACACACACAAACACACACAGCTCTGTCCGCTGCGCTGTTGGTGAGTACCTCTTCTGTCATACAAACACAAAACACGAGGAACAGCACAGAGAACACGCGTGGAACATTTCACACTGGAAGTTTTAGCCGAGCTAAGCTCGCTCAGCACGTTCAGCCTGAGTGTCACGTGACTCGTAACTCCGTCTGTGGCGCTTCCACCTGCAGCGGCTCGCTCACCCACGCAGGCCGAACATGGAGGCTTCGTTTGCAGGTAAACGGGCTCTGGTCACCGGAGCAGGAAAAGGTAAAGGAGACACGCACACGCACGCACACGCAGCGACACCAGCAGGCTGCTTTATGAACAACATCCGCCTTCGTGCAAACGCCCCCACCAACCCCAGTGTGGTCACGGGACCCGAGACTAAGGCTACGTTCACACTGCAGGTGAAAGCGCATCAAATCCGACTTCTTTGACCCTCTGCGACTCATATCCATCATGGTGACAGTGTGAACGGCACAAATCCCATATTTTCAAATCCGATCTGGGTCACTTTCGTATGTGGTGCTGAATCAGACGCATATCTGATGTTTCAGAAAGCGACTGCTGCTTGATGGTCACGTCGCATTAAATCCGTCTTTTACGTCACTGACGCAAGACAGACGCCGATTATCAGCGCCGGAGAAGACATCGCGAACCTTCCTGGGCCTCCAGTGAAACTGTTGGGAACAACGTGAACATTTTATTTGTTCTGTATAACCTGCAGATTCTGACAGAAATCTGCAGCTATCCTCTGAAACAGCAACAAGGATCATTATTAGATTATCTACATTATTATGTAAATAACAAAATAACTTAAAGCAAAAACTGGGAAACGTAAAGTCCGAAGTCTTTATATTAAGGCCGTCAGTCAAACATACTGTTGTTCTGGGTCTGAACAGAGCGCGTTGTGTGGGACGTCTTCTTTTGCGCATGCGGGCGCTTTGAGCGTTCACACTAGAGCGCGTTTGCTGTCGCATTTTATTTGTAGTGTGAACGAGCAGACAAAAAAATCGGATTTGATCAAAAAATCGGAATTGAGCATCAAGACCTGCAGAGTGAACGCAGCCTAACTCTCCTCTCATGAAACTGTTTCTGTTTTTTAAACGAATCAATGCTTAATGTAAAGTTTCACGTGATTTCCACTTGAGCTTGATTTACAAACAAGTTCCTGAACAGAACATTAAATGTCAGCAGTGATGTTGATTTCATTTACACTCAAACACAAACCATCATAGCTCCTTGTGTGGCCCCAAACAGAGGCTGCTGTATAAACGCGTCCTTCACATACATCAAGTTAGACAAATATAAAACACAACACTAACATGTCCTTCTGTCGGCTTCCAGCCGTGTTACAGACGTTTAAAGTGAGACAGTGTTGTGGACGATGAAGTTACTGATTACTGTGAACTCAGCAGAGTGTGCTGGAGGAATCTGATGACACTGCACGGAGCCTGAACCAGTGTCATCAGTGAGAAAGTGGAATAACAGGAGCTTTGTTGGTGGAACGAAGCCTAAGACATGTGTGGAATGTGTGTGCGTGTGTGTGTCCACTCTGTAATCAGTCTTTGTGTTTATGGATTCTTGTGTCCCAGGGATTGGTAGGGCCACAGCTCTGGCTCTGGCACGCTGCGGGGCAAAGGTCATAGCGGTCACACGAACACAGGCCGATCTCAACAGCCTGGTGGAGGAGGTGATCACCGCACACACACCCATCTGAGGGGCCCCAGCCCTGACCTTTGACCCACACAGTGGACTGTCAATCAGCATAAAGCATATCTCAGGCCACCTCTTAAAAATGATGCGTATAAAAGCCAACCACGTGTAAATGCACCATTAGGGAACCGACAGCGAGGAGCTGGAGAGGCGTGTGGGTCTGGTATTATCGTAGGGTCCACCTTACAATATAAAGCACTTTGAGCTGACTGCTGTTGTGATTCAGTGCTGTATAAATAAAATGTCCAAGAAGAGTCCAAAAGAAAAAGATACATTACTAAAATGATATATATGGATTATAAAAGCACAGAATTAACAAACAAATATTTAGGAACCTTTCTAAAGCCGCTTTAAAAAAAAGTCCCAGTTCAGTTTTATTTATATTCACAACAGGCGCCTCAAGGTGCTTTATACTGTAAGGTCGACCCTACAATAACACATACAGAGACAAACCCAACAGTCATATGACCCCCTATGAGCAGCACTTTGGCGACAGTGGGAAGGAAAAACTCCCTTTTAACAGGAAGAAACCTCCAGCAGAACCAGGCTCAGGGAGGGGCGGGGCCATCTGCTGCTGGGGAGAGAGAAGGAAGACAGGATAAAGACATGCTGCGGAGGAGAGAGTCATATCTTAAAAAAAACGTTACATATAAAAAATCCAAAATGTCCTCTTTCTGCAGAGAGACTTGACGTCACCGTTGCTTTAGCTTTAGCTTTAGCTCTGTGCCTGGAAGACGTCAGAAACCCATCACAGCTGTTCCTGTCAGTTCTCTGATGGAGCGTCTGTGATGCACAGATAAACCTAAGAGACTCTAATCGACTCTTTGCCTACAGCTTTGATCTGCACAGTGAGATTTCTTCTCAGTTTAAATCTTATTAATAACTCATCCAAACCTTTTCTGACTCATTATATCAAACAGATTTTAATCAGCTGACGGCAGCTGATGACTTTAAAAGCTGTTTAATGTCGTTTTCACTTGAAGTAGAATCTGCAGTATGTTCGTCATGCAAATACAATAATAGAGAAAAAATTCTTTTCAATCTGCACGGCTAACATGAGAAGCATTTCACTGACTGACTCTACGGCAGCAGCTGAAAGAAGAACAAAGCTACCCTGCACACAGTTGGTCTGACCTCAGAACAGCTGTTCAGCATCTGGATTTAGTTGTTCTCGCACAGCTGCTGTAACCTCGTCAGAGTTTGCTGTTTGTGAGGAGGCCTGTGACTGATTCAGTTCTGGGGCCCAAACTCATTATAAATATTTGATGTCTCTTGTCTTCCTTCTAATCCGAGTCCGTCTGCTTTTGACTTCCTGTCACAGTGCGCCTCCATCACCCCGGTGTGTGTGGACCTCACAGACTGGGGGGCCACAGAGCAGGCCCTGCAGGATGTCGGCCCTGTCGACCTGCTGGTCAATAACGCTGCCTGCGCCAACCTACAGCCATTTCTGGAAGTCACACCTGACAAGTTTGAGCAGTAAAGCAAATATTCTCAACTTTCATATTTGTTACTGAGGAAGTACCAGCTGTAAGCACACAGCACAAGCCTGTGAGCCCGAGGCCAGAGCCTCATCATGTGCTAACCTGTCACGTCTGTTGTGTCTTCCAGGGCTTTCAGTGTGAATGTGAAAGCTGTGGTGCAGGTTTCTCAGGTAAAACAAACACGGCCTTTATTAAACCACGGTGTTTCCTTTCTTTGGATTTGATTCGTGGGAAATGCATTGCTTTGAAGTTCAGCTGTGAATGAACCCGTCACAATGAGTGTTGGACAAGCTTTAGAAAACGTGTGATTGGGACTTACAGTAAAAGTGTTTTTTTACCTCGATATTAAGAAATGTCTCGTGTAGATCTGAAAGCTCCGGCTCTATATCTGTGCTTCGCCTGTCGGTCTGAGCCGTGCACAAATCTGTGCTTAAAAAATGAGCAGATGACATTTTGTTACATGAATTGTTTGACGCTGATGTTATTGGTTAAGTTGGGTTTTGGAAAGTTTCTGTAACAAAGCTCGATGCAGTTGAGTGGAGCTTGTAGGGTGTTGGGTTGACCCGTCTCATTCATCAAACTGCTTCTGTGCAATGAGACAAAGCTCCGTCTGTTGGCAGTTAGTGGCTCGTGGTATGAAGGCCCGGGGATCGGGAGGCTCCATTGTTAATGTGTCCAGCCAGGCATCGCAGCGCGCCCTCAGAGAGCACGCCGTCTACTGTGAGGATCACAGACATGGGCGCCACAGCCTCTATCACATTTAAACGAAGAAGCCCAGTGAGGGTAACAAACTGAGCTTCTGTTTCTGCTCTGTGCTCAGGTGCTACCAAAGCGGCTCTGGACATGCTGAGTAAGGTGATGGCTTTAGAGCTGGGACCGCATCAGGTACACCACTGTCCTGTTCCACACGTCCAGCTTCCACCTACTAATGCTAATGTGGTTAGCTCAGCTTTGTGAAAGCATTAACTGAGTTAGTGATGCCACAGTTATCGTTCAGTTCGTGCTGTCTATTTCTAAATGATCAGGAAATACGGGGAAAACAATATAAGCTAACGCAAGAAACTGTCCAGGAAATGATTTCATGTGAATATTAATTATTCCTGTAACTGCATCACTGTTCAAGTGTCAAAGTCATTTACACGTGTGCCTCACGTCATGTAAGGCGTTGAAAAGCATTGGAATACTTCGATGAGACCTGATATAACAGTGAAACACTGCCAGCACACACCAATGCCAGGACGGCTCACTGCACTGTGAAACAGCTTCTGCAAACTCATATAGCCTGGTGTGGTGCTGAGAGAGAGCAGCAGGTTCATAATCATACACAGGATGTAGGCTTTCAAATCCCAGGAGAGACCCTAAGTGACCCTTCGCTCTCTGAGGACGAAGGTCTGCAAAATTCCCACCTGCACCACAGTGTGATATGTGCAACATAGTGAAGGAGTTGTGTAAAAAGTCGCTGGCAGCTGGTGTCAGTGGTGTCGGCACCAACCTGACACCAAAGTCCACACAGAGTTTTGTAAAGGCTGCATCTAAACGACACCTGAATCAGTTCCTGTGAACTCAACATTTACTGGAAGCAAACAACAGGACAGCAGCCAACACCAAACTTATAAGTTCTATGAGCCAGTGTTTTAAAGCATGTATGAGCTTCATACAGTCGCTTTAGGAGGTTACTTTAGTTACTGCTGCCTGTCCGGCTGTTAACGTGAAGTATTCAACAGTCTGATCGGGGTCGTCTGAACAAAGATGGGATCTGACGTCTGTTCGGTGACTCGATTAACTCAGGTGTCGTCTTGTGATCAGATCCGTGTGAACACCGTGAACCCCACAGTGGTGATGACTGACATGGGTCGCTTGGGCTGGAGCGATCCTGAAAAAGCCAAGAACATGAAGTCCCGGATCCCCCTGGGCCGCTTCGCAGGTCAGTTGCAGCAGTCTTGGTCAGACATGTCCTCTTAGATCACATCACTGTGTTTGTGTTCAGCTCCTGTATGCATGGGAGGCAGCGTTACCCCACAGACAGGTGACGAGTCCACAGAGTGAGACCAGTTTGCATGATCCCAGTCGAGGGTTAGGGACATAACACTGATAGACTCAGTCCTGCCCTCTCGTCTGCACGCGATCTGTAAAGCTGAGTGTGATGTGTGTGTCTGTGTGCAGAGGTGGAGGAGGTTGTGAACAGCATTTTATTCCTGCTGAGTGAAAAGAGCAGCATGATTAATGGAGTCACTCTGCCGGTGGATGGAGGCTTCCTGGCCTGCTGACCCACATCAGCCCATCGTCCACCTGCTCGGAGCAAAACTTCACTTGCAGATTTCTTCTTCACTGTGATTGTCTCCAATATAACTGGACTCAACCAGCGAGGGGCCCAAAGGATTGTTTGACCCATTGATGGAATTTGTGCTATTAAAAGATAAAAACATGCTGCTGCATTAAAAACAAAAACTCTGTTTAAAAATAAATTGTTTGTTTTTTACTGAAATATAAATGATCACAGTGACTAAGTCACCGACACATGAAAACAGAAACGAATGAACTCTGGGTCCTCTTTATTTACAGCACCGCTCCACAGCTGAGGCGACGTGAGGAGCTGAGACGCAGGCCTTAGTAAAGTTTAGTGACTGGTTCAAAGTGACAGAACCACTGGACTCTTCCTAAGCAGGCCGGTTCTGCTTATTCATTTGGCTTCACGCGCTGCAGGCTCTTGTAGTTGTTTCAGTGCTGCAGTAAAGAATAGCAAAGAAGAACTGAAGCCTGGACGTGTGCTGGAAAGCCTGCTGATGAAGCTGAATAAGAGCCATCATCATCTTCAGTCAGAATGATTCGTTTGGTCACTTTGATAAATCTAAAGAACTAAAGGTACAGGAACAGTCCGTCTTCTGTTAATATATATGTAAATAATCCTGTAAAAAAAGGACTCGTGCAGCCACTAGCGTTTTCCTCAGTGTTAGTCCACGAAGCACATTTCGATGTGAACCCGAGGGAACGCCTCGCTGTGTGAGGAGGAAATGACGACAGGAAGCAGACTACCTTACATATACATTTGTATTTAGTATACAAAAAATTGAAATATGTCACCACACAGACATGTGAAGTAATAAAAAATAAGACAAACAGTTGAAACAAGTATACAAGTCATCTTACATTACATACGTACATGGCCAATGCATTTCATCATACAACCTCTCCTAAGAGTTACAGTGGGTCAAATAACCAGAGAACTTCCATGCAATAGTAGTAGTTTTTTTTCTTTTGCTGTTTCTCAGCTACATTTCGACACCTTAGCTAGGCAGGACCACACGACATGATTCAACCACACAGCTATGCCAACCAAAGACAGCATAACGGAGCACTGCAGTGCTGCGTCTCGCCACACGGGGGAGACAGACACACAGCAGGCCTGCGACCATACAGAAATGCATTTCATAAAGGTGCAATCTGCACTGTTTGCCATGACGACAAACTCCACAACGATTGGCCCTTTATTGTACACTGTTAGCGACACTTCTAACTTCGACATGAGCAACTAGAATCCCTTTAGTTTGAATTGTTTTAGTTTTACGAGCTAAATATTCAGGTACATGTAGATATTCATAACGCATTCCTTTTCTGAGGATTATTCTGTACATGACTGGATGTCACTGATATTCGTGTGTTTTCCTTCCTTTATGTCACAGATTGTTGAAAAGTCTTGTGTTTTACTACAATACAATATGAAATAGTACCAAAAACTGGACACTAAAAAACTTGGCTTAAAACAATACTGTCTCTTATGCACTACCCCAAACTGTCTCACTGACACCGACACATGCCCGCCCACCGTGCACGCACGCAAACACACCTGTCACGCACGCATTCATGTGCTTGCGCACAAACACACACAGTCTAAACAATGGGATAAATTAAGACAGAATATTTTAAGACCCATGCAAGCTCCTCCACTCCCACAGGCAGAACTCAGGCAGCAAGGTTGTACAGCCCCCGTGTGTTTGGCAAGCTCGTCTGTCACATCTTCACAGTTAAGAATAGTTACCCAAAGAAATTGACCAAGATCAGGCGACTGAAGCAAGAACACGCTGGAGGGGCATAGCCAAATAATTCTTCAACTGATCAGAGGATGCTTCTGGAAGCGAGCGAAAGGTTTGCAGGTAGACCTCTAAAGTACAGTTATGAAACAGACAAGCTTTGACTGAAACCTCCAGTTAAACCTTTGTGTCTCACTGAAAATCTTTTTTCTCATTGAAAAGTTAAGAACGATGACACGGGCTATGATTATGAGTCTGTGCGTGGCTTTACTGAGACGAAACCCAAGAGGATGAGTTCACGGTTACATGTTTATACTTTGACTGCAGCGCTGATGTGATCGTTTGGCAGGAAATCTGTCCTAACTCGACAGGTTACTGAGAGGATTGAACAAATACAAGCAGTTAGACCATCGTTACAGTCACTGTGCTAGCTAAGAACTACAGGGAGCATCTTGGGCCGTTTGCCCAGTCTGAGGGAAACAGCACAGCCTTTCTCCAATGAGCTGTTTAATAATGAGACGCTGATCTGGCAGTATGGAGCAAACTTGAATACCTTGCCATTTTAAAGAACTTGGTTTGGATCGGGAATAATAAAATGCCAATCAGGACACCCGCCAGTGAACCAAGCTGTCAGAGAGTCTAACTGCTGGTGTTTCTGTCATGTGACCACAGATCTCAGGGGGGACCTCGCTGTGCATACTGTCAGAAATGAGGGCTGAACGAATGAAGGCAGTATTTCTTTTAATGTGCTGATCCTAGATCAGAAGCTGAGGGTAACTTCAGAGCTGAAGGCGTATTCACAGTTCATGTTCTATCTAGTCAACACTGCATTATTTCAAGCAAGCATAGCTGAGAAACAAAAGACTTTGCAGTAAGAAGATAAGAAGTCTTTGTGAGCCCTCGTGGCAACATGACACGTGTCTATGAGTACAAAGCAGTTGGACAGTCATTGTCTTTCACAGAGAACCTATGACCTTACTCTGTAATGGTTAAAAAAACTGGGTTAAATATTGGTCCTACCAATATGATTTTGAAAAAACATCGATATAAAGAAAGCAATCTCAGCAGTGCACACTCACTCTCGCTAGTTTTCTTTCTCATCCTCTCAGAGAAGTAGTGGTTGTTGTTCATGGTGATGTGGTGTAGTGTTAGCAGTGCTTCCTCCTTAGAACATGGTGCATCTCTTCCCCCTCTTCTTCACGGGTGGGGGGCAGAGCACAGCCCGGATGGCCTCGTCAAATACCGTCTTCAGGCCTCGCTGGGTCAGCGCAGAGCACTCCAAGTACTTCACGGCTCCTGAGGACCAGGGAGAGGGCATGATGGGAAAACTCCTGATACGCCCCTCTACATTACCCGACAGAGCACCTAGCACTCACCGAAGGGCCCCACCACATAACTGTCCATGCAAATACTGAGGAGAGTAAATAAAGCAGGGGTCTCACACTGGAAGGAGCTGAGGGCCACTGCTGGCACTGTCGTCTGAAGGATACTTTTGTGTTCAATTAATACAAAAACAAACATTTCTGAAAATGTTTTGTTTGCTTTTTTAAAATTTCAAATATCATATAGGCCCCGGGGCAGACCCAGGACACGCTGGAGAGATAATCTCTCCAGAGTATCCCGCCAACGCCTCGGTGTCCCCCCGGATAAGCTGGAGGAGGCGGCTGGGGAGGTCTGGGCTTCTCTGCTCGGGCTGCTGCCCCCGCGACCCGGCCCCGGATAGGCAGAAGAAAATGGATGGAAATATTATATAGCAATATCTTAACTAACTGAATCGTTTCATTGAAAGAGCAAATAAACACACTGGTCCTCTGTCTGTCACACACGTTCGTATTGAACAAAATACAAGTGCAGGTGACACATGAGTTCGTGCGAGTGGCCCCCGGGCCGCGAGTTTGAGACCCCTGGAACTATTACAGCAGGTGCGTGATCGTTTTTTCCTCCTTGACACAAGGCGAGTGGAATTCAAATCACAATATAAATATTTCCTAATCATTTTTTATTTTAAATGAAATAGTTTAATCTTGTTTTTAAACACTGTTTATTTTGGGTGTTTAAAAAGAAGGTAGCAGATGACACGCCGTCTCTACCCACTGCTAAACACAGCCACAGTTCAACTACTGGGAAGAAGCTGAGCAACATGTACATATAAAAACAAAACAAAGTGATTTACAAATCTCATAAACCAATACTTTGTTCACAATGGAACATCTCCAAAAGGTTGCGACAGGAGTATGTCTCCATCTTTGTAGTATCTTTTTCTAACATCTGGAAACAGGAGAGCAGCTGTGGAGTTTCGGGAGAGGAACTTTGTCCCGTTCTTGTCTGACAGAGGATGCTAGCTCAGCAGTCCTGGATCTTCAGTTTGATTTATATCGAGAGAACTCACAACAACACTTGCCTCGAGGAGCTCTTCTCGTCCATCTTTTTCTGAACAGTATGCTGTCATTGGTCCATAATTTGTAGACACAGTTTGGTCCCGCCTACTTCTGAGGAACTCTTTTTGTACCCAGACATGTTACTGACCTGTTGTCATTTAAACGGATTAGTTATAATTATTATTAGTTATAAAAACGCAACAGCAGATGGCCCCGCCCCTCCCTGAGCCTGGTTCTGCTGGAGGTTTCTTCCTGTTAAAAGGGAGTTTTTCCTTCCCACTGTCGCCAAAGTGCTGCTCATAGGGGGTCATATGATTGTTGGGTTTTCCTCTGTATGTATTGTTGTAGGGTCGAGCTTACAGTATAAAGCACCTTGAGGTCACTGTTGTTGTGATTTGGAGCGGTCTAAATACAATTAAACTGAATTGAAATTGTTCCTCCAGCTGTTTCCTTTTAGGACCACTGAGTTTTCCAGCCTGCTGTTGCACCTGGCCCAACCTTTTTGAAACATTTGCTGTCATCAGACTCAAAATGAGTCAAGATTCTTTGTGAAATCGTTCAAAATTAAGAGTTTAAAGATTTAACAGGTTTTCTGTGTTCTATTGTGAATACAATAGGGATTTATGAGATTTGCAAATCATTGCATTTTGTTGTTTTAAAAATGATTATTTTAAAATTGGAGTTAAAAATTACTTTTCTAAACGAGTTGGTCCCTGCACAGAGTGGCACAGATCATTCATAAAAACAATGATGCTGCACAACAACAGTCATACAATCACATGTATGAATCAGGATTACACAATCAAAACAATCATCAACATGCTGGCATGTTGGAACTTCCACAGCTCCTTGAATATTACGCTGCTGTATAAACATCTGCTTCTTATCACAGCTTTTAATAATTATATACATACAGATATACAATACAATAATCAGCCATATTTGAATTGATCAAAGTGAATTAAAGGTTTACTACATCATCGGTTTGAGCGCTGCTTTCAGATAAGATTGTTGAAAGCCTTTACAAAGGCCGGAGTAACACTGGATCATCTCGTCAGTGGGACTACAACAATGGAGCAAATAATCTTCATGTGACAAGCACTTCAACTCACTTCACAGAAAACTACAAACGTGGTTATAAAGTGGTCTCTTTCTCCAGCTGTACATACGATTCATGTGCCCACAGCATTTATAGGCTAACATTGCCTTTCCCAGCTATCCTAATACCAGCAGAGGTCTCCAGGTAGTTCTGTCCCTATCTGACATTCTTGGGTCTTTATCCTACAATATGAATTGCTTTGGGTTGACAGTTACTGTAAATTGGCTCTTGAACAGTGAGATGGATACCAGTGAGCTGAGTATTGAGATGAGGTCAGGACAAAAAGGCACATATGGAAGTCACTCATAGTGACTGACACTGACAGCAGATCGAGTCCAAAGAATTCCTGACTCCTTGTGACTCCCAGTCTAATAGCAACAACATTCCCCAACAGATATCTGGTCACTGTTTTCTCACAGTCACTGTGGTCATGATTTCTAAATCCACGTGTCTTTAACAATCATGTTGGAAAGTTAATAAGCTTCAAAGGTTTATAGAAGGATGTTTCATTGACAGTTGGCTGGAACTGTGTGTAATTCATGGTTCCTCACTTACACAAACATCATTCTCCAATCACGCCTTCGTGCTTCTGCTCATCAGTGAGGGTGTGGGCATGTTCCAGCATTCTGAGGTCGGATGTTCCTCACTTTAGAGGCTGAACTCAAAGCAGCTCTAACCCAAACTAATGGACATGTTTATGTACAGGGGAGGCTGAGCACACCCTCTCCACATCTGTGTGTGTGTGTGTGTGTGTGCGTGTGTGTGTGTGCGCGCGTGTGTGTGTGTGTGTGCGCGCGTGTGTGCGTGCGTGTGTGTGTGTGCGCGTGTGCGCGTGTGTGCGTGTGCGTGTGTGTGTACACAGAACAAACACAGCGTTGTGCATTAATTAGTGAGTGAGCTTAAAAAAGTTGGTAACTGTATTTTTCGTTAGCTGCTTTCAGCCTGAATTAAGTTCTGCTGAGCACCAAGCAGCAGACGGTGGAGACTACAAAGCTGTGGACATGCTACTGCTATGCAGTGAATAATGAGCTCTTATTTTTCTTAAAATGTGACATTTCCCCAGTTTAAACATTGATTTATGTTCTATTATCAGTAAAGTACGAATTCATGAGATCTCTAAATCTACGCAGCCTGTTTTCATTTTCACAACTTTTCAGGAATCGACTTTGTAAAGCGTGTTTCTGTCCACTGTGTCACATGAGCCCTTTCCCACCTACTCGACTCGCGGATCGACTGGTCTTCCATTAGAACCCTCTAGTACCGTGTCGTCATAGCAACGCGTCTGCGCATCTTGAGACGTAATTAATATGCGACACGAACGCCACAACAAAGGTGGACATCGAAGCAAACACATGCCTGCTACTTGGTCCGTGGCTTTTCGTCACACTCAGAGATCACTGCGTTGTTTTTGTAGCCGTTTCAAAAATGGCGATTTGGACTTTCGTGAACGCCCTCATGACTCGTAACGCTACGGCCAGCCAATCAGTGGCATACAGTCTGATGATGTCACACTTAGTACCTGTTTGGATCACTTGAAATCCAAGCAGGTGCTAAAAACTGGTACCAGGAACTATGACCTAATGGGAACCCTGAAAACCGTGCCGAGTCGCTCCGTGGAGGTTCTATTGGAAAAGGGCTTTGGTGACCTCGTTTGTAGAAAAACATACATTTTTTTAAGTAAAAAGTACTTATACTGCATTGTAACAATACTTTACTACAGGGAAAGCTTGTGCATTTGAAAACCTCAGTAAGAGCAAGAATGATCAGTCGAAGTTTATTCAAAAATCACATGTAAGCGTGCTGAGAAGTAGAAGAACCTACTCCGTCCATAAACAGCTGATTTCAGTTTGTCACAAGCATCCGGCCGCTGATGTTTTCACCGTGCAGGCAGCGCTTGGAAAATGATCATCAGGAAACTAATTTTAAAAGCCTTGAGGCGACTTTTGTTGTGATTTGGTAAATAAAATTGAATTGAATTAATTAGCAACTAAAACTGAGTTTACACCTACATAAGTGAGTAAATGTGCCTGGTTATATCCCACCTCTGACTAACCAATATTCTACTTAGTTCCTTCAACCCAGAAAACTGTATATACACTTTTCTTTGGATCAACTGTCACTGGTATCCAATTTAATATGTTACTTACTGAGACAACAGACAAACAGCAATCATTATAGATAGCTAAATTAATGTTAGAGAAAAAACGATGCCGTTACAGCCTCACCAATCTCTCTCGCCATGGCCAGGCCCTGCGGGTAGGTGATGGGGGACAGCTTCTTGTCCCGCAGCCTCTCAATGGTGTCCTTGTCATCTCGTAGATCCAGCTTGGTGCCCACCAGAATGATGGGTGTGTTGGGGCAATGGTGTCTCACCTCAGGGTACCACTAGGGCACCACAGGCACCCACACACAGACACAACCACACACAGATGTGTACATATGGATATACAAAAGACAAAGTCAGTGAGAGAGGAGAAAGAGAAGAGTCAGCTGGCGGCGGTGGAAGAACATCATGACCCTTTCCACAGTGACATTCAACAAACTGAGTTGTGGCTACAGAAAACATTGTTATTAAGTTTGAATGAAGGCATGAACACAAGACATCCTCAGGCAAAGAAACCTCCAATCACATCACACGATGGGACGATCCCGTCGGAAACACAGAGACTCTACAGAGGGACCCCAGACCTCGTGAAAAGTGTGATTTCACACGAGAGCGTCTCATGATGCTCAGCAGATCAAACCACAGCCGGCCGTGACGCTCCCTCTGCAGAGTGTTTGCACTCGCTCAGGCCTCAGCCTACAATGTGTGTGTCTGCGCTCCACGTCCTGCTGGAGTATCAAATCCAGACCATTCTAAGCTGAGGACTGAACAGGTGTGATAAACCAGGTGGAGCCAAAGATGTGCCTCCTTGTGGTCAGACTCGGCGTGAAGGGGGAAAAAGGAGGGGGCGGGGTGGACGGTCAGCGTACTGACCTTAGCTCGGACGTTCTCAAAGGAGGCCGGACTGACCAGGGAGAAGCATATCAAGAACACATCCTGGGAGAGAACCAGAGACATCGCTAGTTGAGAGTGAGATCTGTGTGTGTGTGTGTGTGTGTGTGTATAAAACCACCACAAGAAATCAGCTTTATTTGAAGTCTTCGACACTTATTAAAAGTTACAACACAAAAGCCTCAAAGAGGCGCGTTTCTGCTTGATAGTGTTTGTTCAAAGACATTTTAAGTGTAATAGACAGAGGACATCCAGGACAGACCCCGCCTCTCGCCTTATGGCAGCAGGGATAGGCTCCAACCACTGCAAGCCTAAACTGGATAAGACAGTGGATGAATGTTTGGTGCTTATCTACACAAGAAGTGGTTATCAACACAGTGGGCAAATATACACAGCGGTCCCTCGTTTATCCCGGGAGTTACGTTCTAAAAATAACCCGCGATAGGTGAAATCTCCGAAGTAGGCAGCTTTATTTCTTACAGTTATTACTAGGGGTGGGGAAAAAATCGATACTGTGTAGTATCGTGATATTTTGTTTGCTAATAACGTATCGATACAGCGACAGCAGAAATCGATATTTTGTTACAAAAAAGGTTTTGGTGCTCTGACTTCAGAGCATGTTGATCCTTTATCTGAGCAACAATCCTGACACTGTCCAAATGTGTTTAACTGTTTTTATGGCAGCAATAAACATGACAGTTTACTTATTTTAATTTAAGACATGTTTTATTTTAATTACGTTTAAAACTTTTTTATTTAATGTAAAATTATATTTTTTTTAATTTACTTTCAAGTTCTTCAGTTGCTGAAGGGGCTGCATAGTTTTCATATTGCATAGTTCAGAATAGCTATGATTGTACCAGATGGTTGCATTCAGTTCAGTGGGACTAGACTGTAATACAAACCGTTCAGTTTGTCAACAATAAAACTGAAATGAGAGAAAGACTGAGTGCGAGACTTTGATATTAGATAAAATGAATATTGATAAAGTTTAACTTTATGTACAGAATCTGAATATTGCAATATATTTTAAAAATTGCAATAATATCGTATCGTGCGTTAAGTATCGTGATAATATCGTATCGTGGGATGTATGGTGATTCCCACCTCTAGTTATTACAGATTAATTTGAAGGCTGTAAAGCCCCTCACTGCACACTTTAAACACTCAGACAGGCATGAACATCTGCACACGTTTCTCTCTTGTTTAAACTCTCTCAGAGTTCAAACCTAGAACAATCAGTCCAGTATTATAGGATGAAACCAAAGACGCGCAGGTGACGACGTTTCATCGACATTGTTGTGTTTGTTGGGGAGAAAACGTACAAACATACAGTGCAGCAGAGTCACACTGCTGGGATAGAAGATTTAAGTCAATTTGACAAGCTGAACGGACTCTGTCCTGGACAGGAGACACGGCACGAGACTGATTGACAATGGTCTACAGCCAATCAGGACGCAGAACACAATGTGCTGTAATAAAAAAAAATCTAAAAGAAAAAAAAAAAAATCAGTGAAACAGCGAGGCCATGATAGGTGAACCGCGTTATAGCGAAGGAGCACTGTGCATGAAAACCTTCCCTTGAACTGGAGCCCCGCCCACACGTGCGCGGTACTTTGGTAACTGTAGCTTTTCCTCAGTGTTTAGGCTGTTTTTCAGTGTTTTTCATACACAAGTAAATGACGTTTTATGTCAAAATCCCCATTTTTATAAAAACACAGGGCTTCTTAAAGCCCTTCCAGGGTGAACACTTTCAGGAACCATGGTTCTGCTCGTACACTTGGCGAAGGAAAATGATTTCATCTTGGACGTCAAAGGTGTGCGCCGTTATCGCCTCTTTTGATGTCAGACCGTGCTGACCAACGTCTCACCGCCTGTTTTCTTGGCATCGTCATCAGTGTTTGACATCATTTTTTGCTTTTCACGCGGACAGAGATATGAAAGTGAAAATCCCTGTTTGAATCAGTGCCTGTGTGCATAATCGCCTCCCAGATCATCCTTTTGGCCGTTTCCAGGCAGCTTCCACTTGCTATTTCTGGATTGCTCCCTGGAAGTTCTGTTGTGCCCACACTGCACAGGCGGATTTCATCAGACTTCAAATCCAATTCTTTTGCAAACTAACCTGAATTTCACGTGAAGGACTGTCGTTGTTGATGAGAGCTGGTAGTTTGCAGTTACAGAGTCAGCAGCTTTAAAGCTGAACGCTGCATGTTGGAGGAGCCCGCTCATAGTGGAACACCCTGGGGTGTCTGGGGGAGAACATTCAGCAGATCTATCCTGTGCCAGTGCACAATGCAGTGAAAATGGTGGCATTTTTTTGCTCACTAACTGGATAACCTGCCACAACAATCACGATGACGGACTGCCAGAGTTCCAGCATGCATTGCAGATGGGGAAGGGAAGCAGTTGCTAATCTTGAATGGGAGATTGCAGAACAGCCTTTTCCTCACACCCTGTTAGCCATCTGAACTGGTGAGTGTAGTTTGGACTTCTTGAAATATTGGCATAATCATTAATTTAAGGCATACAGTTTTCATATTGAACGGATAAACTGATAAATGCTGGGGTCTACAAAGCATTACAGCAACCTTCGTACATTAACCACCTTCCATTTCATTCTCTTACTCGTTCATCTAAACAGGTCACACAGGAAGCTCGGTTCAGTCACGTATCTGTGGCATGCTGTGAGTGTGTGGGAGGAAAGAGTAGGAATACCGTCTGTGGGTAAGACAGTGGTCTGAGCCTGTCGTAGTCCTCCTGTCCTGCTGTATCCCACAGACCCAGATTCACTGGTTTCCCATCCACCATCACATTGGCAGAGTAGTTGTCAAAGCTGCAGGGAATTGGACAGCACACTGAGTAAAAAGCAGCTGAGACTACTGACAACAGTAGTGCGATTACTCCTAAACAACACTTTGCAGAACTACATGACCGCCTAAATAAGGGTTGGTAAATATTTAAGGAAGCTTTTTCTCCTCCAAGTCTACTTTTTGGTGTTGCATTACTATATTTGATAAAAGCTTTTAAAAGAGGGAATGAAATTTAAGGGACAGCAAACAGTCCAGTCCGGAGCTGAACTGGGAGTTCCTCATTCAGCCCAGTGCTCACTGGGCTCTCAGGTATCAGGTTCTTCTGCTGCGGATGGGTCCAGCACTTTGAAACTGAATTACTCTACTAACTCTAATTTGATATGAACTGGTTTCCAACCTATGGGATATATGCTGCTCATACTAAAGAGCCACCTGCCAGTTGGTTTAACACGACTGAGGTGAGATGCAGATATTTGAAAAACAGGATTTAAGGGAACTTTCTGGGCTTGGCACAGTTGTCATGATTATTTTGTTATGCTGGTTTAAAAGTGTAACATTTGTGTCACGACGTAGCTGATAAACACTGAAATAGCTTAAAATTTGAAAAGTTAAAAAACATTAAGGAGTATACATAACATCAGTCTGTTTGATTTGCAATATTAAATATATAAATACTACAAATATCATCCATCGATAAGCATGGATAGTTTCTCGGTGTACAGAACTGTGCAGGAGTTTGCAGCACATTCACAGCTCGCTGAATGAGCGATATCTTTTATTTTATCTGATTTCATTTGACATTCATTCGTCTCTTTTCTGTGTTCTCTTTCTTGTCAACTAAGTTCTTGCAGGAGAACAGCTGTATTATTATTATAATTATTATTAAATCCTTTGTGTGAAACCTTTAGACAGCACAGTGTCTTTGACAGAGCGCTCAGCCCTACAGCGTTACATGGTGGTATTGTGAGAGCATGAGGAGTGTTCGGGTTACTCACACAGTGGGGATGTATTCACCGGGGAAGGCATTGGTGGTGTAACTAATCAGCAGACAGGTCTTACCCACAGCCCTGAGGAAGTGACAGCAGAGGATCCAAAATTAGGCTGCAGCTCCACTCTCATACAAACCTGAGCGTAAACAGGCCACATGTATGTGTGAGCACAATGGAGGCCTCTATCCCCTTTCAGCTGAGTGCCACACAGACATTGGCCTACATACATGTTGCCTAGGGACACAGTAGCCTTCTATGGTAGCCACACACACACACACACATGCACACACACGCACACACACACACACACACACACACGCTCACACACACACAGAACAAACAATATAACTCTGGCACAGCGTAACCTGATGTGCACCTCACTAGAAATTCAAGATACAGACAGTCTTACATTTACTCAGTTTGATTCCTTGTTTAATGTTCAGTTGGTCGG